GACCATACTGAAGACACATTACATATAATATTAGGGTGAAAACATCACAACACTACTTACTTTACATGCACGCACACCAAAGGAAATAGATGCTGCAGCAGAACAACTCAACAAGTGTCTTAACTGGCTTAGGTCCTCTTTAACGATTACAAAACAGACTGTACCAACTGAGAAATTGGAAGGAACCACCACAGAGGGGGGAAAAAGGGGGGCCTTTTAAACAACAGATTATGTTCAGTAATATAACAGTGTCATGTTACCATCACCGTTAGTTGTCATGACAGCTAACTAGAGTACACAGCAAAAATTAGCAGATGACATAAGCTGTCATGACATCAAACATTATGATATCTGTTTTGATAATTACAGATAATGGTCATGATACATCTGTTACATTACAGGACATAATCTGTCATGACATGTTATGGCATGGTTATGTCAGTGTTATGTAGCACAGTTGAAATAAGGAGTCAAAACAATCTGTTTCCGGCTGAATGACTTTAATAAGTAAGGCATTACAATGTTGACTTGGTTAACTAATAAAAATACAGTGCAGTAAAGATTAGGGGTGAGGTTTTAGATGTGGTTGGTTTATACAGTAGTTATATGCAAGATAAGCAGGAAATCCAAATAATAACTTTAATAACTTTCAAATAATCCTCCTTATAGGAACATTATCTGAAAGTGTGTTTTCTATTATTATTTAGAATATTGCCGTTGTTTAAAATGCAAAAAAGCTGCTGAGGCTATCTAAAAAAAGTAAATAAGGTATATATCCTAGTAAATTTCATTAAAACTCCTCTCTTGAACAGCTGAAATTCTCTTCGGGACCAAAGGCATTTAGTCTACAGGCACTGCAGGCTCTGTATGTTTCTAGAATTACTGTTGTTCAAAATGATCTGGTGTTCAAATTAGAAAAACTAAGCTAACTGCAGCTGTTCCTGACTGAAGCTTTAAATAAACTGAAGCCTCTATTCATAAATTCTCATACTGCAATCATATAAAATCATCCAGAAATAATAAGCTACAATGTCTAAAATCCTTCAGGCACCCTCTCTAATAAGTGAATTTAACTACTTTAATATGAACTCACTGCTGATACAGGCTCTGGAGCAGCTGAACATGAGCTTAAGGTCTGCATGCCAAATGCCAACCACTGGCAAGAGGGGTATGGAGCAGTGGAACTGCATTCTCCAGAGTGATGGAGCCCCACTTAGTACCCTTGGGATCAGTTGGAGTGGCATTTGTCATTCAGGACTACAACCTCAATTCCCAAAAATGGGGACAGTATGTGAAATGCTAATAAGAACCGAAAGCAGTAAATATTAAATTCTGTTTGACCTGTATTACATTGAAAACAGTAGAAAAACACAATATTTGATGATTTTACCTTAAGAACTTCATTGTTTGTTGTAAATAGATGCTTATTCCAAGTCTGATGCCTGCAACACTTTCTAAAAGAGTGGTGACAGGAGTATGTTTACTACTGTGTTACATCAGCTTTACTTTTAACATCACTTTAATCGTTTAGGGACTGAAGACACAAACTGATCCAGTTTTAAAAGCATAATTTTTTTCCATTCTTCTGTTATACGAGTCTTCAGCTGTGCAACCCTACAGAGACTTTGTTATCATCTTTTGAGCTTAATAAGTCACACATTTTCAGAGGGGGACCGTTCTGGACTGCAGGCAGGCCAGTCTAGCACCCTCACTGTCTGATTATGTGGCCATGCTGATGTAACTCATGCAGAATGTGTTTTGGCATTGTCATGTTGAAATAAGCATGGATGTCCCTGAAAAAGATGGTGTCTGTAAGGCAGCATATGTTGTTCCAAAATGTGTTCAGCATTAATGGTGCTTTCACAGATGAGCAAGGTATCCACTAATACCCCATCATACCCTGAGAGACAGAATTTACGCTGGTAACAATCTGGATGGGTCTTTTCTTCTTTGGAAGAATGATGAAATGATGTCCATTTTTCCATAGTCTGAAAGATCGTCAGACCACAATATATTTCCACTGTGCATCAGTTAATTTCAGAAGAGCTCGAGCCCAGAGAAGTCAGCAGCATTTCTGGACGCTGTTGACATGTGACTTGTGAGCTACAGCTGAGAAGCTTTCTTCTAAAAATGTTCTGGTAAAAATGGTTTTTCGAAGTATTCTTGAGGCCATGTATGGGATGAAATATCTAAAATCCCTAGCTGAGTAATGTTCTTTTCAAACTGTCTGATTTTTTGTTGATGCATTTTCGTCAAGTGGCAAGCCTTGACCCATCCTTCCTAATAAAGGACTAAGTTTTTCCTGGATCCTTCTTCTATATCCAAGTATAACTGCATCACCTGTTTAGTATGTTTTTTGAACATTTCACAGTGTTCCTAGTCTTATATTGCCCCTGTTCCAACTTGGTTGCAGGCATCAATTTCAGAATGAGTGTAAATATTTCCAGTAGAGGCCGTTACTGCAGCAAAGGGGAAATACATTCTCTATTAATACTCAGAAAAAAAAGCTGGATGAGCAGGTATCTACAAACTTTTGGACATACAGTAAACCAAATCTCAATTAGGTGCTATGAAATGGATCATATAGAAGTATGGAACATATATCATTAGAAAGATAACATGTTGTTGCTTTGTCCTTCATAGAATCTTCACATCCATCATCATGCATTTCCATATAAGCTGAAATGTTCATCATAATGCTGTAATGAAAGAAAAAGAATACAATACTCAGCTTAACAGGACTAAATAGGGAAATAATTAAAGGGAGTTCTTCAATGTTTATGGTAGTGCTTATATGACTATTATTAGCTTTGGCAGGATGATAACATCAATGAATAGAAATGATACTTACAGCCGAACAGCCTCCTCCTTTTTTGTTGTACGATTTTGGGGCACTATGGTAATGTTTAGAAATAGAAACATAAACAGAGAGAGAGATCAAGAGAGAGAGAGAGAAAGATAAGAGAGAAAGATAGCAGTGTTCTACATTGCATTTTGACTTTGACTAAATAGTCAAGTGTTGGTTGGTCTATGTTTTTATTTATGTTGCTTTCTAATGCGATGCATTCTGACAACCATAATTTCATTAACACTTTAAAATAAATATATAAAAATAAAATATATAAAAATACGGGAAATGTATGCTACCTCTTTGGTGATGGGAAATGCGGTTTGGAGAATTCTGCAGTTCCAGACACTGCACTATGAACACAAAAAGTCATAGTTTTATTAAAATGATATTGTCTCACAGTAAAAAGCATATAGTCACTGTTCAAAAAAAGTATCTCCAAAACAGTTATTTTACAGAAGAAGGCAAAACTACTTTTAATGGAGCATTTCTGTTGGTCCATTCATCATTAAATTTTCACACAATGTAAAGGACAGCCACTGCACTAAAATGATGAAGAAAAAAAAGTAGATAATTATGTTTTTTGGGACAGTGACGATATGCATGAGATTTCTACGTAGGGGTGAGGAACCAAGGAGCTGGAGCCCAGTACAATTTGTGGATTTCTCTGCTCTAATACAAAAACTAAACCTGGTGTTCTTGAGCAGGAAAATCACCAAACTGTGCAGAAACCTTGCCGCCCATCACTGGAGATCACCACAAATAATATATTGGTTATATCCACATTTATATCTTTTTTTGTATACTTCATTTTTTTCCCCAATATACTCATGTCCAGTTCGACCCAGTAGTTACCCTTGCTAAAAAAAAAGTTTACTTATGTACATCAATAGTATGCTTGAAGTACAAATCTCATTCCAAGAAAAGTTGTGACAGCAGGTAAAATTCATAAATCTACTTTGACCTGTATTTGAAGAAAAACTGCATAAAGTGTGTAATGTTTTACCTTCTGAACTTTGTTTTTTGTAACTTTACACTTATTCTGAAACTGATGTCTGCAGCACGATCCAAAAAAGTGGGGAAAAGGCAGTTTAAGACTAAGTACTTTGTGAAATGTTCAAAAAAGCATCTGTCTGAGAAAGCTCCATTCACAGCTTAAACACACCTGAAAACTAAAACCATTGTGTTGTAAACATTGATTCGTAACTGCTGACAGTATTGCTATTTCCTCATCATTGATGATCTAAAAGTTTGCCACAGATCCTTAAAGGCTTTATTACAGATCAATTTATATATTTTTACTGGTAGCTCCACAGATCGATCACCATTAAAACATTAATGTATTAGGACTAAAAATTAACCTCCATCTATACGATCGCATGATACTACACATTCCACACTAAAGTATTGTGAGTTAAAAACACATCCCACATCAGTCAACTGCGTAATTAATGCATTACTTACTTGTACCCCACCGTCTGATCTGGAACTCTTCTGTGATTACAAAATAATATTCAAATTATTATTATTGGAATTTGGTGAAAATAATTCCAGATGAACATGTGTGAGAAAAAAGTGAATCAAACATACAAATATTAATCACCTGGAAAAGCGGCTCCAGATGCTGCGCCTGCTCCCAAGGAAAAAAGAAACAGATTATTGTGCTGTAGACTAATTTAATTAGAGTTATATTCTGTGATAATACATTTGCTTTCAATTGTTTTAGACATTTGATTTATTCAAAGCTTGCCTTTTCTCAGGTTTCGGTGGCCTTTGGGGTGCACTGTAGATGATATCAGCAATGTTACAGCGGCAAATGCATAAAAAAACAAATATTTCACAGTTGTATATTCTGTTGTAAAGATGAAAAGACTGAGAAAGGCAACACAGCACCACCCACAGCTTAAACTGAGAAATAAAACTACAGTGTTGTATACATTATCAAAGTAGTCTGCTAACTGTACTACTTTATTGACTGCTTTACTGACACAGTACTTACTTGTACTCCACCGTCAGACCTGCACTGTTGACCGGACCTCTTCTGCAATGACAAAATAATATTAATATTGTTATTATATTGGAATAATTATACATAAACATGTAAAAACCAAAAAGAACGTGTACCCTAAACACACAAGAATGTCAAAGATAATCACCTGGAAAAGCGGCTCCAGATGCTCTGTCTACTCTCAAGGGGAAAGGAAAACATATGTAATAACAACATTTTTTATTCTGTTATATTACAGTTCAATTCAAATTGATAATTTTTAAAACTATTATGAAACATTTAAATTAAATTTAAAAAAAAAAAGCTTGCCTTTTCTCAGGTTTTGGTGGCCGTGCTGGTACACTGTGGATGAAATTAACAATGTTACAACCTATTTTCAGTGTGAAGTGTAAGTCATGAAAGAGAAATATTTCATAGTTGTCTTATGTTTCCACAGAAAGGCAATATTTTGCTGTAGTTGGTGTCATTTTCTCAAGTACTTACTTGTTTCTTTTCACAGATGGCAGCCAGCTTGCAGTTCCATCAGATCTCCTTTTGTAGACATAAAATATTCGTTAGTATAGACACAAAATTAATTTTCTTATATCTCCATAAAGGACTACGGAGAATTTTGTGATTGATTTATTTTGGAATCAATTTGGAATTAATCTGGAATCTTGGAATAATCTTATTACTATTACAGTACTTTACTTTAAAAACAGTATTTTAGCCAACATTATTTCTCATGATAATAATAAAGATAATAATAATGTGAGTAATTATTGAGGACACTCTCTGTAGTGTTTTCCTTTTATCACACTTGCATTTAAACACTTTAATCTAACCTGGATAATTGGGCCCACACCGATCTCCTATTAAAAAAATGAAGAATAAATTAAACAAATTAAGCAAATAGCACTGTGTAGAGAAATATAATATCAATGTTCTCAAACAACCGAGTACAGAGTAACCTCCATGTAGCATACTTAAACCATTCTAATAACATTTTTGTAGTTAATGACAAAAGAAAGGGCATTTAATTCAAATTTAATTAAAACAGGAAGTCAGTTTCACTAATTAAAAAAAAAGATGGGACACGTTAACTTGCTGTGAATTAAATTCTATGCATACATCATAGGTATAAAAATAAAGAAATATCTTGCTCACCTTTTCTCAATCCTTTCTCCGTCTGAAGGCGTCCTATAATGTAGCAAGATTTGAATAACAAAAAGCAAAATAATTGTTGGAATAATAATTCTGCAAACTACAGGATAACTCTCAACATTAGCATACACATAAACTTACCGCCTAGCCCTCTTCTTATAAATGACAGCTCCAGCTATAGCTACGCCACAAAGAAGTAAAACTAGAAACAAAGGTGCGAGGATGTAAGGTCCTATGGTCTCCATTCTCAGCCCCTCATATCCTAAAAACAGTGCACTCATTAGTCTTCAGTTATGCAATGAACCATCACAGCATCGCACTGTTCTTTTACATACTCACTTTTCACAGGAAGCTCGACTGAACTCTCTTGTTTCTTTCCTCTCCAGAATGAAGCTGTGCAAATGAGGTCTTCTTCCTCTTCATAGCCAGTTGGTACGTAAGTAACTGTTGAGATTGTTTTCCACTGGCCTGCACTTGTCTCCATGTGGCTAACCACTTTCTTGGCAGTTGGAATACTCCAGGTTATAGTTGGGGGGTGTGAGGGGCACGTGTGGGTGACAGAACAGCTAATTGTATATCTCTTGCCTGGCTCCAGCTCTTCAGGAAGATCCGAAATCACAGGCTTGTCAGGAGTTGCTAAATACAAAAAAAAAAAAACATAGACATTCATCAAAGCAAAGTTAATGGTTTTGTACTCTAGCAGTGGCAAACCTTGATCATCAGAGCTAGACCTTCATTTTGGGCCACAAATGTCAAAGGCTGGTCAAAAAATGAGAAAAGTGTTGGCACCTTTATAGCATTCTTAACAGTATGTTGGCACATAGTTAATGCTGCTGCACATTAGCAGGTCCATAAAATGGAAAACTGAATTTTCCTCACTTTTTTAAGATAAAAGAGTTAGATGTGTATGTAAACAATGTCAAAGTTTGAAAGCATGCAGTAAATTTCCCATCACATACAGTCTATAATTGGAAATGAAGCTGCAAAAACAGCCTATTTTGATTTTAATATTTACATGATGTCACAACAACCAATGCCTTTACATACATCAATCCATTCAGCCTACAGAGTTTAGCTACACCAAGTCATGTTTAAGTTATAAGCTGTGTTTCAGCGAATTATGACTGTTTTCAGTATGTAAAACCCATTTCACTACAATACACCACCAAAAGTTTAACAAGTTGTCCCCAGACATGTATTCTCATTACAAGATCATGTCTCATCTCATGAGATTACCAAAAGCTTAGGGTGACCTTTTTTTCTCACAAAATAGGTCCCACCCATAGTAAATCAAAATGTGACTGTTTGATTCCACTGTGAATTTCTATCTGTGTTGGTTGTTCATCTAATTTGTTAATCAAAAAGGTTCTGAAAGCACATGCACACATTTTTATTGTATAACAGAATTATCTTCTCACCTTTCATTAAGATGAAAACGCAGCTGTGGTTAAACCTGTACTTGTCGCTGCCCTTTTCTGCATGGAAACAAAATGGCCCATTATCGTGGGCTTGGACATCATCAATCTCTAAAGTGCAGTTCTGCTCATTTGTGTCCCCCAACAGCTTTGTACGACCTTTAAAGTTGTCCAGAACGTTGGTCTGTCCAGTATGGAAAACATATTCCCCCTTGTTGGTGTACCATAGGCCACGGAGCCGGGTGACAGGCACATCTCCGATCTGGAAAGTGCACGGTATCACCACACAGGAGCGGGTCAGGGCACTGATCCTGGACACCACATTTGCCTCGTAAATGTGCAGAGCTGAAATTGAGTAAAGATATGTCACTGTTATTTGGCAGTCATCAAATGGTTCTTTTTTGCATAATTATAATAAGTCATTTGCATTGCGTTAAAAATTATGTTAAATGGACCAATAAAAATGGTCCAAAATTACTTGAAAAAAAATCTTAATTTTAATCCTAAAAAATCTTAATCTTAAATTAACTTCCATTTCAAGTCACTTTTTTTTTTCTTGTATAAAGCTACCTTTTTTGAGGGACAATGTTCCCACAGTCAGTTGTCCACATACTTTTGAAAATTGCCAGACCATGCTGTTTATATTCAAAAAGACTTTATATGTCATGTATATTTAAAAAAAACATTGAAACAACAGCCCACAGTGTCATAAAACAAATTCTTGTCTTTCTTAAATTTTAGTGTCTAAAAATTTGGACATGTGTCGGTAGAAACAACCATATATGAAGGAGCAAGACTGCACTCTGTTATTCAAAGTCTCATAATAAAGCCTTTATACTGAGAAAGACAACACTTTCAAAATTCTTCAAAGGTAAACTGAACAAAGACAGAAAAAAAGAAATAAACCTACTGTCATTCTCAAATGGATCCACTATTTTGGGCACAAACTCTGGAGAAGAATAAAAATAAGACATGATATATGATGAGGTTATGCACATTGTAGGTAAATTCACTGTGAAAGTTTAGCTTTAATCATGCAGTTTTTACGCACTTTGAACATATAAAACCACAGAAGCTGTGATTTCTCCATAAGGAAATTTTGCAGTGCAGGTGAGCTTCTTTCCATGATCCTCCATTGATGCTAAAAATAGTACATTTGAACTGGTGACCCAGCCCGATCCTCGGTTTTGTTTAGTCTCCACAGTCTCAGGCATGTTTTCATAGTTCCAGGTGATATCTGGAGTTTGTTTTTTACAAGAATGGAAAACTTTGCAGGTAAAGTTTTCTGCGACTCCCTCTGTGACATCAGCCAGCTCTGGCTCAATCACTATATCTTTGTGGATACCTGAAACATCAATGTAGGAGAGAGAATTGAGCAGATCTATCCATGCAAGTAGACCTAAAGTCAAACTGCAGCCCTGATCAAAAAACTATAGAGAACTTACACTGTAAAAACTGAAGAAGGAGGAAGTTGATGAGAAATAATTTAATGGATTGATGAAATATATTGCTTTTGTTTATTTAAAAAAAAAAAATGCTAATACAAACAAAAAGCACTGATGATTAAATTCTGTTTGACCTGTATTAAATAGAAAATGATATAAAAACAGTGTCCAATCAGGACCATTTTGTCAAAGAAAATATTTTGTTTCCAGTTGTAGTAAGTTTTATATGGCATTATGGCTCTGTTCTGGAGAACAGCAGAAAGACCCCCTTAGGGTAAAGAGCAGAGGAGGCATCAATTACAGCAAACACGACATTAATTGACAGACACAGGGTGATGGAGGAATGAGGGTGGAGGTGGGCTGTGAAGTGGCTGCAGAGGTTTTGGCGAGAAAGGGCAGGTTAAAGCAGCTTAAATAAACACCCTAAAGAATTTAGCCAGTAGTATGCATAGCAGGCCATTTGAGATTGGGGCCTGAGCTTGACTTTGTGGCCTGCCTGAACTAATGCTCAACTATTTAGTCTTAAATTGCCACTGTCCCATCTTTTTTGGAATGTGTTGCAGACACTGATTTCAGAATGAGTGTATATTAATAAAAATCAATGAAGCTGATACGTACAAATACTACATGTTTTGTCTTTGTACTGTTTTTGTTCAAATACATTTGCATTTTATGTACTGTCCCAACGTTTTGTTAATTTAACTTTTTTTATGTGATGGAGAAGGCAAACATCTACGTAACTTGTATTGTGAGATAAGTAACAAGATATTGTTCCAAGACATTCTGGACTATTTCTATTGGTCCGTTCTTCATCAGATGTTCAGACAAAGTAAAGGACAGCTGTTGTGCTCAAATGATGCAGACTAATAAAACGCAGAAAACAATGGAAACACATGGTTTTTCATATGACAGCAGCATATACATTACTGTGTAAAAGTCAGAAATCAACTTTTGTTTATATTATTTAATTGTCTGTAATTGGCTGTTAAATATGCATGTTTTCTTGTTTTTTGCTGTTTGAATAACTTGTTTAAATAACTAATAACCATTTTGACAGAAAATTAAATGAATGAAGGCTGGTCTGTGACTTTTGCACAGTACTGCATTTTTACAATGTAGGTTCAATACATTTTCCAAGGTCTGTATCTCCTGCTGTTAACATCCACTTTTTGGATTATTACTTACATTGAGCATTGAGGTTGATCGACGCTTCTGATGTCTGACCACCTGGGAATGTGGCTTTGCATGTAACGGTTTGCTCATCTTCTTTAATTACAAATGTGTGTTGTTTGGTGATCACCCAGAATCCATCCTGCACGGGAGCATGTGCAGTGGTGTCAGTCTGTAGAGCTTTACCCATGCTCAGTGTTGGAGGACTGGATGGACAGGTATGATATACACTGCAGGACACTGTGATTTGCTCTCCAACTCGGGGTACGCCAAGGATGCTGAGCTCTGGTTTATCAGCTTGTTCTGTCAGAAGGAAACAGAAGGGAATTTGGGAATTCAGTCATTACTCATTTATGTAATGAGCCTGTGTAAGTGTGACTTTTCTTAAACAGTGTTTACCCGTTACTTGAAGTTCCACGAAATTGTCATAGTTTTCTTTGTGGAATGATTCAACTGGATTTTGATCCATCCAGGGATACAGTTTCTCTTCGTTTTGTGGCATTATTAGTGGGTTAATCTTCAAACTGCAGTTTCCCGCACTGGATGATCCATACAATTCTGTCTTCCCCCAGATCTTGCTAGTGACACCACGGCCGTCTTCATCATACACTAAAGGATACCGTGTAGTGGAGAGCTCATACCATCTCACCCTGACTTTGCTGGGCCATGTGGTTTTGAAGTCAAAGCTACAGGGAATGACCAGACAGGAGCCTTGAAGGCCTTTAATCTTGCTCGGCATTGAGTATGTCCAGTCCAGTGAGGACATTCCTCCTTTATTAAGGGGCAAAAAAGTGATGAGCAGTGAATGCAACATCCATTTTGATAATTATTGATAAGTATAATATTCATATCGAAATTATTTATATTGAGTGCCATCTTGTTGGGTTTGTAATCTGAAAGATGGAAATAAACTTACTCTTTACTTTTAAAACAACAGAATCTGAAGACTCTTCCTTTGAAGACTGAGCTGTGCATGTCAATGACTTTCCATGATCATCCTTCACTGCTCTGAATTTTAATGTGGAAACTGTTTCCCAAATAGTGGAGTTAATATTTTGAGTTTGAACTGAAATTGGCATGTTTTGGTAGTTCCAGGTGAGGGCTGGCTTCTGTTTTTGGCATGTGTGATGCACAGTACAACTAAAGATCTTCTCAATTCCCTCCATGACTTCATCTTGTGTTGGGCTTATTTTTGGTTTCTCAAAAGCACCTGAGGGGAAAAATAATCAGAAATCACAAATTTGGGTAACTGAATATTCTTGAATACTCTCTGGAATAAAAATGGCTCTACAACAGAAGCATTACTGTAATAAACCCACACATATTCAAACTTTTTCCCCAAGAAGCCACCTTCCCTTTTGATTTTTTGGGAACTTTGCAGCCCCCACCCTCAAACAAAAGCAAGCAGCCTTAAAGCTGTAAATGAGCTCTGTTCTGATGGGGTCCCTGCTTCAGTCAAAACAAGGCTGAAACACACCTTATAACTTCAGTGTGAATGTTGAATAGGTTCTGTGAAATAGGTGGTGAAAATTTGTTGGTTTTTGTGACCTCATAGAAACAATGAATTCTAAACGGACTGATTTTGCAGCTTAGTTTCCATTTATGGACTGAATAAGTAGCTTCCAAGTAGGGCTTTTTGTTATGAAGAACAGTATATACTATATGAGACTCACATAAGGGGCGGAGCCTGACTTCAGTCACAGCGGTCTGTCCACTTGAATAACTAACAGTACAAGTAACAGAAACATCATCCTCCTGGACATTCCATGTAATCTCTTTGGTTATCTTCCATTTGCCTTCATGTAGGGGTGTGTGCATTAGACGTTCAGTTCCACGGGAGATACTGAAGCTCAGTGTTGGGGGAGTTGAAGGACAGGTGTGTATCACACTGCATGACAAGGTGATCGGCTCTCCAACCTGCTCACTGCCAGTAATGTCCACCTTCGGTTTCTCAATATTATCTAGAAAAGATGAACACATTTATTGGTGAATACTAAAATGACATTCACAAGTGCTACACACACACACACGTCTTCTAAACCGCTTATCCTTTTGGGTCGCGGGGGGGAGCTGGAGCCTATCCCAGCAGTCACTGGGTGGAAGGCAGGATACACCCTGGACAGGTCTTCACATGTGCTACTGCTGTGATACTAAAGTAACAATAAGCTAAATAACTGCAAATTACAAAAGTGAATTTCTACATGAAAGACATTTTTGGAAAGGGAGAAATGACTGTCAACTAGACATCATTAAAAGAAGTTTCTTCAATGCAAATTTCTCAGTAATCTAAGCAATAATTCCTAACGCTATAAACATTTTCCGTAATTAGGCTGTGTCGAGTAATCTGCATATCACCTCATTACCCTGGCCCTACACTTCCAGCAGAAATAGTATAGTTAAACATGATCTAGGTACTTTTGGATTTATGAATTACCCTTGATATTTACTGGGACACTAAGTCGATAAAGTGCAACTCAAACTTCAGCCAGATGGTGTCAGTGTAAGATGGACCAAGTACTTTAGTAACTTTTAACACTCTCTTTTGCCAAGTCACTTGCTCTTAGCTCTTAGTTATTTTACTGCATGTATTGAAACACACAGCTCCATATTTTTCTTTGTACCTCAAGAAAGACTCAGTGAAAAAGTCGCACAAATTTAAGTAGTTAGTGGTACTATTGTTATCTGGTTTATGTTCTTCTTCTCAATATTTTTTTGCCACATTATTGTCCACTACGTTTTTGAGAAACCAACACTGAACCAACCCTAGAATGTTCTAACTAGGTATTTTTTTTCTTTTTTATTGTGTAAATAAAATCATACAGATGTATAATTGATGTCAAAGCCGTATATCATCAGACAGCATTTAAATAAAGCATATATGCAATTCATTCAAACCATCTCAGCAATTTAAGACAACACCCATATGATAATAAAGCAGACAAAGGAACTTAGAAAACACCTAGTAACACCTTAGCAACCACCCCGAATACTAAGAAACCATTAACATTATCCTAGTAACCACTGAAAAATACAATAGCAACCATCTAGCAACACCATAGCAACTACCTGGAATGCTATAGCAACAATGTAGCAAGAGAGGGGAGTTACTTAAGCTGTGTAATCACTACACTTTTTTCCAGAAAATGCATGTTTTAAGTTTAAATTCAAATGATGAGCATCTAAACTGAACTACTGATGTATGTGGCAAATTTGTCACTTAACAAATTTACAAACTCACACAAACATATTCTAACATGCAGATGGTCATTGTGTGACAGGTTTTGTCTTCCAATCCTGTAATGAAAACTCGTGTGTAAAAATGGTTCTTGTATGTACCAAGCAGCTGACCTACTGACCTACTGGTAAAGGTAAGAAGTTTAATATAGGTACCATTTATCCGAATTGATATATCACTGCAGTTCATAAAACATAACATTTATTGCAGGTGAAATGATGCCACCACACACAGATAACATGGAACAGAGGACACTAAATACAACCTGAGGCACACACTATGCAGTATGATAACATAATAATGACAAAATCAAAATCAACAACATGTCAGATTTGTAAAGAGAATAAGCGTATACAATAAAAACAACCAGTAAAGGCTTGGGTCTTACCTGTTACTTCAAGTGCAATGGTTACATCAAGGTAATTTTCTCTGTGGTACGTTTCAATAGGCTTTGGGTCCATCCATGGATACAGTCTCTCCTGGTTATGCTGCATTTCAAGAGACTGGATCTTCAAACTACAGTTTCCCTCATTTGGAGATCCATACAAGCTCGTCTTCCCTCTGAACTTGGTGATAACATTCTGTGCTGATTGATCGTACACTAAAGGATACTGTGTATCAGAGAATTCATACCATTTCACATTGACATTGGGAGGCTGTGTGGTTTTGAAGTCAAAACTGCAGGGAATGACCACACATGAGCCCCGGACCCCTCTGATCGCATTGGGCATGGAGAATGTCCAGTCACGGGAGAACATTGACCCTTTAAAGAACATGGTACAATAATATTTATAATGCAGTAAGTGTATATCTTTCAGCCCCAGAATGTACAGATTCTATATAAGCACCATGACTGACTGCAACTTGATGCTTTTTTGATGCTTACATGAGACTTTATGCAAAATAAATATAGCATTTATTTAAGCTATGATGCCTGTGGGTTGGGGGCCACTGTGTCATGTAACTCTGGAAAATATGGATGGTTTGATTTAAAAATACTTTTCCAGCTGGTGCCAGTGCCACCTAATTTTTACACTCTTCAGAGTGAGTATGCACAAATTTTTGGCAATGAAGGTCACCAGTAGCATCCAAAAGCATAACCTTAGCGCCACAACTTCAGACCCTCATTTTCAGACGTGCACTTACAGCTCTTTTATAAGTATGCCTCTAGTGGTACATTTTAGAATTGCAGCCACTGGCTATTTATCTATTTAAGCAAAGTACTGTATAATAAACAACACATGTGTAGCTTAAATACATGGAAATAAATACTGGACAATCAGTAAAAACAGAAAACTTAAGAAGGGTTTTTACTCACTTTTCACTTTTAAAGTAATTGCGACTCTTTGAACACTTCCTTTAAAATCTATTTGGCAGGTAATGACTTTCCCATGGTCAGTAGCACTTGCAGTGAACTTTAATGTTGATCTAGCTTCCTGTTGTGTTCCAGATACAAGAGACATGCTGCCAGATAACTGTCCACCATTCCAAGTGATGTAAGGTCGATCTCTGGGGCACTTGTATCTGACCGAGCAAATGATGTCTGTTTCCACTCCCTCAAGAAACTCAGTGCTGGAATCAGGTGTAATCTGGGGTCTGTAAATGGGACCTGTTGATAATAAAGATAAAATCTGACTTTACACAACCACAATGCAATGCTATGAATCTGATTTCATGACTCATGTGCCACTGAATGTTAAAAAGGACATGAGAAAGTGTGTCTAGATGTTTCTTGTTTCCAGGGTCAACACAATTAATTTTTCGATAATTCAGAAATGTATAATACAGAAGTGGCACTTACATGTCGCAGTGTGTGTTTTAGTAGCTGAAGCCGAAAGACCACCGGGATGTCTGACCACACAGTCAACTCTTTGGTTATCAGACTTAACAATCCCTTCACGTATCAGCGTGATTTTCCAGGTGCCACTTCCAATGTCAGTGTGTTCCAATCTGTCTTGTGTTCCATCTATCCCACTCAGAGTCAGAGAGGGTTTTCTGTAAGGGCAGGTGTGGTAAGTGCTGCAGTGGACAGTGATGTGTTGCCCAATTTGGTTTCCTCCAAAAATGCCAATGCTGGGTACTTGTGCTGATGCTACAACAGGCAAAATGAACATCAGAGAATATCAGCACTGAATTAGGGAGAAGAAAGACATTATATCTAAGACGTTGTTACAACACAGTTTAATTATGTTGAAAAAAGTGCAACAGTGATTTATGAAAAGCAAAGTGAGAAGATCAAATACTTACTTTCAATGTTAATCGTACTGGTAACATCATAGAATGCATAAGTTCTGTATCCAACATTTTCCGGGTCTATCCAGGCATAAAGCTTTTCTCCATGGTGGTATTGATTAAGGTTGTCAATCAGCAGGCTGCAGTCCCTCTTTGATGGGTTCCCATATAAACTGGTTTTCCATCTGAACTTGTCAATCACTGATCCAGGGTTCCAACTATCATACACTAAAGGGTATCCACGACTAACATACTGATACCACACTACTCGATAAGGGTTTGTAGGTGGATATGAGTAGTAGGAGAACCTACATGGTATAACCAAGCAGGAACCGTATAGGCCTTTAATGCTCCCTGGCATTGTTACTGACCATGTCCAGGTACCACTAAACAGGATGCCTGTGTACCAGAAATAATAAAAGTTTTAAGAGTGAATTATTACTGAACTAAACATTCTATACTTTACATCTTTTCCCCTATATTTTAAATGATTTTTTTTTTTTACTCTAAAAACTGCTGTTGTGACTAAAAATGTTCTAATAATAGTCTAATAATTCAATAAAATTATAGACAAATCCTGTGAGTAACAATTTTTATTTGCATAAAGAGTATAAATAAAAACAAACTGTACCATGAAAAATCACTTGCAGCAGCAGAAGTCTTGCCATGTTCTCGACTGCAGATACATTGATATTCTGACAATAGGATAGATATTCCACTGGTTAATTTTTTGGATAACTATGGATAACTGTACTTCATTCAGAGCTTCATTATATTGTGATGACACTACATATATTTATCCAGCTGAAATCAACAATTTTCAAAGGCCATAATCTCTTTGTAACTGAAATTTTAACTTACAAGGCCACAACTGCAGTGGAGACAGTTTCAAATGCAGTGCAATGCTGTTAAATTCACTTCATTAGGTTAATAATGTAAAACAACAAAGTTTCAAATTACTAGTAATTCTTCTGGCAATACTGAACAATCTAGTCTGTATTGTTTTAAAGTAGTTTAATAATTGATTTAGACAAAATTAAAAAATCATCTGGTATTAACAAAAAAATAACGTATTTTTAAATATCTTACCTTCCTCCTTAGAAAATCAGACACAAACAGCAGCTCACAGCAAAAACAGCACGATTAACATCCATAAACTCTCGCTGCTTAGATTTGTTTTTTTGATTAGTCAGTGAAAAAGTTGTACAGTACCCAGCATGATGACAGAGATCACAGGACTGCAACAACAGAGCTCTGCAGTACTTAGAATATGCTCTTAGACCAAGCCCCTCCCTTCCTAATTTAACTACTTTTAGTATGGCACATCTGTGATGTGCCTAGAAAAACTTTCATTACAAGGAAACATCACACCCAAACACATTTCTCTTTCTCTTTGGCCACTGTGGTTCCTGAATCAATCAGTTGTAACTGTGACCCTACCTAATGGGTCTTCTCTCACTTAAGGGGTCTCCTGACTAGTCACTCTTGGCTCAGTCTGGTCACACACAACCATCTAATATGAAAATCAATGCTGAAAATGTCATAGACAGAATTCCAATCTAAATGCTGACTTTGTGCCAGTATTTGATGAGAAAGTCAGTTCATTATGAGGATGATCACCAGTATGAAATGCAAGAGCTGATGCAAATACTGAACACAGATGACTGACTTTAAAAATGCAAAGTGGGGGTTTTAAAATTAAGGGGTTCCACAGGACCACACAGGTTACTCCTTTTCTTTACTCATAGCTAATTTGTTTGAGTTGCCATGTGAAGTGGAGGAAAGATTAAATTATTGTGCCATCCTAAGACATCACACACTGCTGCTATGGTGTGGTGTCCGAACAGAATTGTTAAAATATACCTTGTATTGACCTTTTGTCAGTTTGATTTAAAAGTTTTTGCCAGACTTTCCACAAATATGGTGAACTCAGAACTTGACAACTTCTTCCAGGCTCAAGATATTTGTCAACCAAAGTACAGCACATAAATGCAGTCCTAATAAATCAGATCCTTAACATGTAAAAAGGTCAATACTTAAGCAAAGCTGTTACGGCAGCACAGCAAGACGATTAAAGGAAGCTGTTGTCTCCAGTCAGCCACACCTGGTCTAATTTGACAGGTAACTCTAATACTTGGGCCTGAAGTCATCTTCATGGGTACTTGTTTTCTTCTGGCCACCAGAGGGGGTAATAAACAATAAACAAAAGTTACAACATTAACTATTTCCAAGGGACAGATTAATAAATCCTGGGCATGAACCCACATACAAAGATGTGCAAATGTCAGTGTTCAAACTACAGCTACCAAAATTGTATATAAAAGTGTGGGAAACGCTTTAAGATAGGAAATAGTTTCTCATTGTGATATTTGAATACCATTCATTTAAAAATTATATTATCTATTGTTTTAAAATGTGTTATTTGTTTTTACAAATAACTCAGAAGAAAGAAATGAATATAAGCCCACCAAAGAAGACTTAAAAAAGTACATTATTTGTAGTTTATTAGAAAATATTATATTCTATCTTTATTTAATAACATTATCTAGAAACAATCTTATACTTTTTAATGATTATTAGTATTTTGTAGTAACATTAGTAGCATTATATAAATCATTCTAGAAAATTGGTTCAAAGTCAGAGTTCAGAAAGCATTTCTGACTTTTAACTGATTTAGACTTTAGACTAAAATCATTTTGCTTTGATTGACCTTATGTTTTTCCTTTAAATACATTATTCCATTTCATTTTTACTCCACTGTAGCCTAACAGCCTTTTAATGCCCCATAATAACCCAATGTTTTGATAGTGAATGTGAATAAAACATTGCATATGTATCATTTTACATGATGTGTTACCTTTTGTCTGATCCTGGTTCCCGGCTGTAGATGCGATCAGCTGTGCCAGGTGCCCGTCTCGTGGGCCTGATGACAGCCGCGAAAGCTGGCGGGAAGGCGGGGCCCAAATTCTGAGTGCAGATGAAACCCTGCAAGGACAGGGAAAGGATGAGATCTGCAAGGGAGTTGCTTCCGTTTCCCCGGCGAGGTCACTTTACTTCGCTTCACGTTCAATCCAGGTGGCTGAGCTGGGGAGCGGGGTCGGTGACGGCGAGGCAGAGCAACGAGCTCTCTGTCCCTTTTTTAGCATTTCATATTTCAGGTATTCATTAAATATTTCATTTTTGATTACTACCATCTAGTAATCATATAACTGCTATCTCAGTGGTCACATGCCTCTCAAATTACAACTACATGTTTCTGCTCCTCGCATACAGACCTGATGCACTGGGAACACCAGCTACTGTGCTCCTCCTCTTCACTTGGCCTTCCTGTCTGATGTCCTCCTGTGGCTGGGTGGTGGCTTTGTTTGATTTGAAATTTGTGGAGAACAAGCTCCACATACCACCTGTCTTGAAGATATCAAAATCAACAGAGATAAATAGCTCAGATTTCGGGTTCAATGGCAACATGACCATGGTGAGCTATGTGCCAATAAAGGGAAAGGTTGTTGTCCTCTGAAGCACCATGTCTGATGACAAAGCAGTGGATGACAATACTGTGAAAAAAAAACAGCAGTGATACAGTAATATAACAAAACAAAAGGCAAAGCGGACAAAAAGGATCAGATGATTTGTACCCAGGCACACAAATGGTGCTCTGCTATAATATACTGGATGCTGCCCTGCTTAATGCTTATACCAGGGGTCGACAACATGCAGCTCTGGAGCCACATGTGGCTCTTTTACTGCCCTGTTGTGGCTCTTTTACTGCCCTGTTGTGGCTCCACAGCAGAACTAGATTTGTAGGTAAAAATAAAATAATCCTCCTTTGCAGTAAAGTAAAGCTCCACTGATCGTTCTAACGCAGGTTTAACAATAAATGGTCTTAAACGCTGTTAGCAAGTAGCTAACAAAAACGCAAAGAGAAAGACTTAAGACAAACATTGATAACTTGAAGACAAACAGACCTATTTGCATTTATAATCACTCCAGCTGGTTTCCTGATACGTTTAATCTGCAATGAGAAACTGTCACTAAAAAGTCACAAAGCTGAAGTCAGCTTCTCATTCTGCAGCTTCTTGTTTGAATTTTCCCATTCCACCTTAAAAGGTGCAGCAGTTACATTCTGGTGCCACAGGTACTATTTAAGGTGGAATGGGAAAATTCAAACAAGAAGCTGGTTCTGAATCTGAATCTGAATCTGAATCAGAATCTGAGCTAAAGCTTAAAGCAGAGCAAAGTAAGTCTGTGTTTTTGTTTATATATTTTTAGCCCACACTATTACATCAGCACATACTGAGACATATTTACAGCCATGACGTAAAGTGTACATAAAATGTTGTGGCCCCCACGGTGGTCTGATTTTTGTTAAAAGGGCAAAATGGCTCTTCTTAACATTTGGGTTGCTGACCCTTGGCCTATACCAACTTCACTGTACAACACCCTGATTACATGGGTAATATGAACAATGAATGCTGGCTATTCATCAAGGATCTGGTCAAAGAGCTTGTCATGTCACATATAAAAAAGAGGGCACGCTGTACCTCCAAAAGGATATTAGAAAGATGTGGGATAACAAAAAAAAAACAAACATAGCCATCACCCAGCCACAGGAGGACCTCAGACAGGAAGGCCAAGTGAAGAGGAGGGAGTGCAAGATCAGCCCAGCTGCCAAATACAGTCAGCAGCTGGTGTTCCCAGTGTACCAGGCCTGTATGCAAGGAGCACAAACATGTAGTTTCTAGTCATTTATTCAGTCACATTCACCACAGTTCACTACAGTTACAGTACAGTTCAGTATCAGTTAGAATTTATCAGTGATACGTGTATGTTATGTGTGTCAAAGTGACAAATTAACATATTTAAAAATTAAATGTATTATTTTTTGATTAAATAACTGCTAAAATGCTTATTCTAACAAAATTATTATTATGTCTATTTATTTTGTGTATTTGTGTTAACTGGATGTAATGATACAAAAACAATTTGTTCATAAAGTAACAAAAGAAGACTGACGACAACAATTTGCGGTCATCAAAAACAAAATATTTAATGAACACTTGGACTATTAATTGATAAAATAAATTGATTTCAAAAGATATAGCAAAGAAAAATTCAGTCATGAAGAAAATAGGAAATTAATACAGGTCCTTTTAACTCAAAGTTGTTTGCATAGCTTGTGCATTAAAGGGTTAACAAACTTTCTCTTTCTGTTTCTTTTTCACCACAACAGGAAAAACGACCACTGGGCCATGTGCCAGCACACTTAAAGGAACATGAACCCTAATTTCCCAACATAATATAGCAGCTGCCACGGGCTGCCTCTCATGTGTGTAGTAGTTTTGCTATGTAAAATGCCATTCAAAGTGGCTCATGGGAAGGCGCCTCCAGTGAAAAGGGACTCTTTATGTTGTTATTTCATGCTGTATGATGATGTTCTTTGGTTAAAGTGTGCATGTTTATTTGTTATCCCATGCCAGGTTTGGGGGCTAGTTAGAGTGGGTTCCTGTTTGTAACCATAAGAGAAAGAGTAAGGCTGGGATGGGCCTCTTGTTTCAATTCTTTTTCAAGCGGACTTTTTGCCTTTGCTAATTCAATGAAGAGCATTTTATAAGCAGATATTATGACCTTGTGTGGCCCTTCTTCAGCAAGCCATCACAATATTTAGGAGTTTTGGTTCTTTCTAGTTCTGTTAGTTCCCAACATCTTTTAAACATTGTCATCAGGTTACTTGTAAATCATCAACAATATCTGATTACATTGCTAAAACCTACTACACATAAGTAATAATATTTTTATTAAAAGACAAAAAGGTTTACTTAATTTCAGAAAATATGGAAAATATGGTTTTGCTCAGGGGAGGCAAAACTTGTTAAAAAGAATAAATAACATGCTAATAACATGTCTCCCTATTCATGAGAGTTTTTGTGATATTGCGTATTTTTCATTTGGTGTGGTTATTTTCACACCGCATTGGCTAAAGTGGACCAAATTACACACTGGAGTGTTTATTTGATGGTTAGAAATTTTGCAGGGATGCGATCACTCTTACTATTACATCCATGAAAATTTAAAAATAGAAATAGATAATATAAAATAGAGGTGCTTAACGTCTATCACAACACAAAGCTTCTTAATGATTGGTTAACCAATTTGAATTTAACCAGTCAGATCTCTGATGCTTGGCCAAAAATTTGTTGTGCGACCCATATGTCAAAAGAAATGCGTATCTTCGTCTGCCATAATTAACAGCAGCTCATGTTGCAACAATGATATGAGTGAGTAAAGAGTAAAATGTTAAAACAGGCAGTTTATGTGGCCAGTACAGCGCTGATGTCCACTGAGAAAAGCACACATTTGTGTTGAGTTCTCTCATTTGGTATGCACAATTTTGAAAATACTTTCCCACCAGCTGGGTCACCGGTTCATATTTCAGTTGTTTGGCACTGACCTAAACAAGGCTGCTCTGTTTACACATCAAAACGGGCTGAATTAAAGGAAAAGTTGGTCCACACCAAACAAGGTTGGTGTGACAGCGACTTTAGGAGAACAAATTAGGAATAAAAAATATTAAATTTGACAGTTAGTAAATTCGAACTGTGACCCACCGTGTTCATTATCGCAGTGTATTACAGTGAAAACATTTGTTACAGGATCAGTGAGCTGCACCTCCTCTCACTGAACACAAACTCATGAAGGCTTTACTGTTTAAGAAATGCTCTGCCTCCCAGCAGAAATGAACATTTTGATTCTCTTTCTGTTCATGTCTATTGGTCAGCTCTCCGTATAGTTCATTTTGTTTTGATGTAAGCATCCCGAACTCCATGAGGAAGTAGTGGATCGTCACCCTAGTACTTTGAAAAGTGGTGTGTCAAAATGCCCGCTTGCCCCTGTGGTTCTAGCGCCCCTGGTTTTGGTAGGGACAGTTCTTAATGTTAATTAATATTAAACTGATCTTCAGATTTTGGGACAGATTTACTACAAAGAAATGAGAAGCTGCCTCAAATTGTGTTAGAGATTATAGTATTTACTATTGGGAAACTCCGATTTTACATGTCAGCAAAAAAGCAATGGCATCAGCTCACAGTTGTATTTCAGTTATTCAGGAGCCACACATGAACACCGCAGACAAAAATCATCCACATGCAAAAACACAAACATAAGTACTTTGTTATGTTTCTAACTGGAGAAAAAACATTAAATCATCTTTTAAGCTTCCTCTGCTCTTTATTTTGTTGCAGTAAAGCGAATAAATGGATTGTCTTTAATGACAGAAAATCAAAAGTAAACAAAAAACATTATTTCTAGCACATTCATCTCGTTTCTAACCAAAACCACTTCAAGACAAATCATGTTGTACTTATGACCTCTGAGGTCATAGGTAGGAACTTCCGAGTAGGACTTGAACACAGCATCACTGCTCACCATGTGGACATGAGGGACAGGGATGCAGTCTCACTTCCTGCTCTAAAATGCAGGGGTGTGGCTAAAATAAGGCTCCTCCTATGGACTAAAACTCTGTGTTTCAGCAGTGTCACGAAAACATGGGCCAGCAATTTTTTTTATTATTATTCAAAAAAAATAGTTTAAATCTTTCAACTTCACTTTAAAAGAATAAAAAAAGATCTTTTAAAAAAACAACATTGAAAAAAAAAAGAAAAGTTGAAATTTAGGTTATGTTCAGACTGCAGGCAAACTGGATTTGTTTCTCAAATCAGGTCTTTTGAGACATCTGTCCATACTATTATTTGCAAGTGATCAGATCAGATTTGTATGTCTAGACATCACCAACCTATCTGCATGGGTTGCTGTGGTAACGATGTAACAACATAAGCACGAATCTTTGGGCTCTTCTTGAATCCCATCACTTCTGTCACTCTGGATTTGATGTTGTTGCTTGTTGTGTCACAAAGTGACACAAAACACACTTTTAAATCCAGTTAGAGTGGCCAGAGAATCTAGATTGGATTGGAATCACATTTCAAACCACCTCCAAATGTGATTTGGATCCGATTTGCAAACATTTCATCAGGTTTTTGCTGTCCTGACTATCAAAAATCAATCTGGATATAATCTAGATATGCCAAAATCGAATTTGGGCTGGCAATCTGAACAAGGTCTTGGAGAAAGATCTAAGATCTGAATATTTCATTTTTAAAATGTTTTTTACTCTGGGACTGCAGTTTGAACTACGTGGGTAGAATGGTCCATACAGTATTATGCAGAAGCTATGCAATGCAGAAGCTATAGAATAAAGCTACGCAGAATGTATATTTTTATGCAAGTGAAAACTTTCATGGAAAAAAAAATAAATAAAGAAAACCCATAAATCTATGATCTAATATTGTTCTGTCTTCCATCATCATTCATTCTCGTTTGGGATCTCCATCATAGTCCTATAGAGAAAGAAAACATCAGTAAAACTGTGTTCACAGTTAACAGAATGCTTCATGCATGTTGCGCTTCACCAAGTTCAGTGGTGTAAAGCTGGCAGATTAATCTAAACAGAATATTTGAACTGTTACATACAGTGAAAATAGTGGTAGCTTAGAGAAATATTAGTACACATGACATATATACTGTAATATGAACACAGAGTTGATTTTTTTCATGGAAATTAAGATCAACATGCTTTACAGTACACAATACAATATACAAATGGCAAAAAAGAATGAAATAAAAAAACTAAACTTTGAAAAGATCTTTATATTAAATAACAGGTGTGAATGTTAATAAGAGGTTTTAAGTTACTTACAGATGAACATGCTTGTACTGTTGCTGCAGGCCAATTGTTCACTGAGATGCATACAGGAGAGAAAAGAACAGAAAGAAATTACAGCTACAAGTTATTGACATAACTACAATGAATAACTACAATGAATTGCCATTAAAAATTATGACTAATCATATGGCAGTGTCATGTTACTCTTGGCACTAATTATAACATTTGTCATAATGAGGTCATGATAGCTAAATAGAGCACATTTAGCATGTGACATAAGGTGTCAGGGTATCGAACATTATGGCATCTTTTGGTAATGGTAACATGACACTGTTATATTACTGAATATTTTTTTATGGCAACTCATGATAACATATGACATTTGCTATGACATGTTTATGGCATGGTTGTTTCAATATTATGTAGCAAAGCTGAAGTGTTACCGAAATGACAGTACAGTAAGATATGAAACATGTAAAGTCATAACATCAGGTGAAAGTGATGTTCAAAATCCTATATTTCTTATTACTTGGTTATTTTAGTCTGTTTGTCGGTTCTAGTACTGAACAAAATGTGGGTTTATTTAATGAAGAAGGTTAATGCATTAATGATCAATCTTAGTCCTATCAATGAAAATATACTTAAGTGCTTTGGTGATGGACAGCAGAGTTTTGAGAATCCTGTGGTTCCAGGCATGGTACTTACATAATTGTTGTGCCTAGAAGAACAGAGTTCAATTATATGTTTTGACTGTGGGATGCAGCATTTCAACAACACACATTTTCTAGCATTATGACATACAGACAATAGATAAGCTAAACCCAGAATACAAACAGTACTAACCATCTTCAAACCTCTCACAAAACAGCTAAGATATTGTTTTTGAAACTACGACTACATGGTTCCTTTCTCAAAACACAACAAAAGTGTTGATTTCCTGACAAGAAACAAAATAAAAACAACTGATGTGAAAATGTTGGGGCTAAAAAATTTGATGACCAGCCAATATTTTAGATTTTCATTTTATACTCCAATAGTTTAGTAAAACAGCGTTGTACTGACTGATATGCTTGACTATTGTCAACTTTAAAACTGTCAAATATGATTGTCAGTATGAACTATTTTTAAATAAACAGCAAAAACTCAGTCCTAAATAATTAAAATACTTTAGCCCTGGGAGTGAGGTTGCCCAGAGTGACTTGTTAATTACCTCTCATTTTTCATCAGTTCTCTGCATAGGCAACAGGTTATTCTCATGCTAAATGTCAAATGCTGGTGAAGCTGATCACAAAATACCACCATGGTTAAAATAATGGTATTTTGTGTTCAACTTCACCAGTTCAGCCTGTTTTGCTGTGATATAGTAAAAGAAGGCATGCTTTATAAAGGATTCTCCAGTAGCACAACTTTCTGCTCTGTTCTTTGCAATTATGAGTTTGAACCCTATAGGACAAAAAAGGCATTAATTATCTCTGTTATTTTTGCAAATACCAATAAAACTATGAGCGATATAGCATTCAGGCTCTATAAAAATAGATCTGTTTAGTTATTTTAGTATTATTGTCCTTAAACAGTATCTCATTTTTTTTTAACATGAAATGCCCCTTTCACTCTGTCTTTGATACGTTAAAGTGAACTGAAAATCTGATAGCAAAATACAGCCTATAAGCTTTGTAAGCTGCTGTTTACCTAATCGTTTATAAATGCGCCATTTACATAAACATTTGATTATCCCACATCAGATCATTAATCAAGCTACTCACTTTGTGGCCATACGCAGGTCAGTTTCATTTCTGCGGCGACTCCTGTAACACAGTAAAAGGATGGTGGTTAACTTTATCACACAAGTTCTCAGTGATGAACGAGGCCTGCTTTGTCAGCATGTACACATTACAGGGCTACAGCACCAGCTGAAGTTAACAGGCCTGGAGCTCATCTCACAAACCTGGAAAGTAACATACAAAGCCATAAAGGTTACTAGGCAAACTATGAGGGGGGATCTTGCAGTTGAATTGTGTTATTTTGTTGGCAGATATTCATTCAGGCAAGTCTCCCAACAAGACACTCCTGTTTGCTCATTTATATTTTGCTTAAAAAGACAAAGTAAATGGAACAGAATATGCAATTAATGTAATGCTAAAAACTGCATGCTTGTCTCATTTGCGAGTTTAGAACACAAAACAAATCATTTTCCAAGCAGAATCCAAAGAATTTGTCTCTGAAACACGGTGTAAAAGACTCAGGCCTGTCTGGCCAACAGTGGTATGATGTTGACCACATTAATTAGTTTTTCAGATATGATTTACTGCATAAATACATGTCCAAGCATGTATTGCTGGAAATGTATTGTTTGGATGTTTCTTATTGCTCTGATTCTGTTCAAAAAGGATATGGGCAGCAGAGACTATGATTGGTAGAAAGACAGAATTTGATGGTGACGCTCTACCATGGTACTTTATGGTCTGGCTCATCCTCTCCTGAACGTGCTGATTTCCTAACAAGAAACAAAATAAAAATAACCGATGTGAAAATTTTGCTGACTTTACAGGGCTAAAAAAATTGATGACCAGTAATATTGGCCAATAATTTAGATCATTATTTTATACTCCAATAGTTTTGTAAAACAGTGTTTTACTGACTTATATGCTTGACTATTGTCAACTGTAAATCATATTGCTCTGATTCTCCACAAAAAGGTCACCATCAAAAAGACTGAATTTGATGGTGACACTCTACCATGGTACTTTATGGTCTGGCTCCTCCTCTCCTGAAATGTGGGTTATTGAGTCTGTTTTTTGTTACCAAATTTCTTGGTTTATGTTGAACAAACAGTCCTCAAGCACCATACTTTTTTCAACGTAAGGGACTTAGTTATTATGTATAATCTAAAACTGTGCATTAGTCCAACGTTTTTCTTCCAATGCCTGGAAAAATAGGGTGTTCGTATTTCCATGGATCCAAATCTTAATATCAAAATACCTGGAGGTACTTATTAACAGGATAGCCTCCATACATCAGTCCATCCAAGGTGGAAAAAATAAAATAACTGTTACTTATGAATGCTTCGACCAATTCTTGAGAAACTTCAAATGTCCATGCCATTGATAATGAGGTAGCCTGACAATTTTGATGCATGTGGGTCGACAGTGGGCCCTACAACATTCAAACAGATGCTTTTCAACAAGCTCTTTGGAAGAGAATTTCCTTAGATCATAATATGGAGAAATGTACAGCTAAAACAGCTAATAATGCCACAAACACAGCCAGATGAGAGAGCATGTGCTCTGCTTTGTATATTTGCAGAGAGAATAAGGAGGAGGGGTGGAGTAACGCTACAGAGGGGCCGTGTTCCACTAAACTAAGACTGGGTTCATTCCACTTCAATATCTTTTATTCAAAATGAAAGAAAACAGGCACAAATACATATTTTAACAGATAAATAACAATAAATAACAATAAATATTATAAACATTTAGCTGTTTCAAATAAATAAAGCCTGTCTTTCTGTGTGTCAGAGTTTTAGTGCTCAGCATGAGTCCAAGAGGACAGAAAAACAATAAAAACACGGCTACCTTACGCTAACCATTTATTTTTACTCAATAACCCAGCAGGCACCCGACGCAGTTTGATGCCAGAAAGACATTGGACTCTAACTTTAGACAGATGTTGAATTAAAAATGAAAATCGGGTTGACGTGAGTGTCCAACATTGGACAGGTGTTTTTTGGTTGGAAGTCAAAGTTGGATAGCCATCAAAACCAATGCTGGGTTGGCATCAAGCTCCAACATTACATAGAAGTTGAATTTTGGTTTTGGCTTAGCATGAGTCCAAGAGGACAGAAAAACAATGAAAACATGGCTACCTTATGCTAACTTTGGTTGGAAATAAAAATCGTGTTGATGTCAAAACCCAGCTTTGGCTTGACATCATCCACTAATGTTAAATAGATGTTGAATTTTGGTGGGAAATCAAAATCTTATATCAATCAAAAAAACAAAAAACGCTGGGTTGACTTCAAGCTCCAGTGTTAAACAGGAGGATCAGAGGAGTGGGTAACTGTAGCTGTGGTGCCTGGGAAGCTTTTCAGTGCCTTGCTCAAGGGCACTTCAGCTGTGGATAGGAGAAGTCTGAGATTGAACCGCCAACTTTGTTAACATTATGACCTCGGTGGATTTTGGTTAATATGATGATGTTTAGCAGATGTTGGGTTTTGGTCCCCATGCCTCATGACTTTATGACGGTATTCTATGTCAAGTTGACGTTGGCTTGAGACATTTGAACTGGATTTTGGTTACAACAACCTAATACCCACAATATATCAACGTCTAACAATATTAGAATTTCATACTGTGTGCACATAAACATTATAAGGTTTAGCAGGTGTTGGGTGTTGGGTTTTGGTCACCATACCTCACTACTGGCATGAGATGTTTGGAAGACACTGGACACCACAATTTTTTAGAGAACAAAATATCAATGTCTTATGATAGATTGTCACATTGAGTGGATGTTAAGATTATGATGTTGACCAGGTGTTGAGTTTTGGTCACTAATATAGGTCTATATGATGTTGGCATGAGACATTTAGGAGATGCTGGATTTTGGTAACTTAACACCATGACTTAAAGCCAGCTACATATCAGCATCTAATGATGTTACAATTTCATGTTGTCTGGACATTATGACAGACGTTTGGTTTTGGTCTACATACACATGAGACGTTTGGAAGACATTAGATTTTGGTTACTCAACATCACAACTTTAAACCAACAAAATATAAGCTGTCGCCAGTATTCTATATCAAAATTACCTTGGCTTTAGAGGCTGTCTTGACATTGAATTACCTGACATCATGATTTTAAACCAACAAAATATCAATGTCTAATTATGCTAGAATGTCACGTCGAGTGGACATTGAGATTATGTTGTTTGCCAGGAGTTTTGGTCACCATACGTCATGATTAAACGTCAGTATTAAAAAGCAGTATGATGTTGGCATGTGACATTTAGAAGATGTTGGATTTTGGTTACTTAATATCACAACTTTAAACCAACAAAACATGACCTGTTGCCAGTATTCTACATCAAAATGACGTTGGCTTTAGACGCTGTCTTGACATTGAATTTCGCTCACCCAACATCACAACCTATATTCAACCAGATATCAGTGTCATTGGTGGCCAGCTGGGAAGCAATAGAATGAACCACCATCAAAGTTCTTACATGTTATAAAACATTGCATAACATGCATGCTGTATATGACAAACTCCAAAGTCTGTATGTAACAGTGGACAGGGCAAAACAATAGTTTTTAATCTTATTCCTTGAGTTTATTTTTGTAAACTGATTTTTTTTTACTATTGATAATCAAAAGTTGGCCTTTTAATGGGTGAAGTACAAACTCTGGTCCTAACTCTAAATACTTTCATAATTTACTCTCACCCCTTACCACGGTAATGCATACAGTTCAAATGTCTACTTAGACCATTTGTGAACATTCAATGCCCTGCTGCTTCTGGTTCCCTCCAATCCACTGACCTGAACCTGTTGATCACAAAGTGATATAATACAATCAGAAATGCTGACAGGGTGTGAGTTAAATATCCATTCAGCCACATGAATAACAACATTTAGGTCCAATATGTAAAATATTAAGCCATATAAAATATTACAACTATATTTTTGTCTGCTGTGCTTTAAATATAAATGTTGCAAATTAAATAAATGATAAATGTTTCAAAAGGTCATTTTAACTGGATGGAAATAGCCCTTGATTACCTTTGGGACATTCTGGACATTCGACTCCAAATTCTGTGTACATGAAGGAAAAAATATTTTAGATGCATTGAAGTGTAGTCCTTTTATTTCTTTAATGAGCACTATATCTGATAAGACGCAATACATTTGACCGGTAAGCTAAGGAACATACATTTTATGTACAACAAACTCTTAAGACAGAATCTGTATCCTCTCAAATCTACCTCAGACAAGATTACTATTTTATAATAATTTCAAAATGGTAACTTGTAAATTTATGTGAGCTCATCAGACACATGTAACCTGTCTGCAAACGTTTCCAGTAGGTTCTGCATTTTATTACAACAAACCTTCCCTTCCAGGTGTAAATTAGACTTAAAATATTTGTATCTCTCCTGCACACCTGTTTCACAACTTTCTTCATTCTGGTTATCTGAGACATTTCAGCTCAGTGGAATAATATTCTTAATAGCAATTTATCATCAATCAAATGTTCTTTTTCTTTTGAAATTATCCCAGGACACTGACAATCATTCCATATGTCTCACTAGTGTTCTCCCCACAAAATACTGGCATTATGGATATTGCCATGAGCATTTTCATCATCATGTGTATACATATCCCCATAGCCAATAGCGTTACTGCATTTAATGGCAATATTGGAGCCGATATTGATATGGTAACAATGCAATCCTACTTATTAACCCCATTATCTGTTTTGTGACCCACAAAAGAGTAGTGCATTATGAAAGACAGAATGGTTAAAAGGTATTTACTTACCCATTTGCGTTTCTAGACTGGAGATCTTGGATCTGTCTCCTGATGAAAAAAGAAAACAAGACCACATGTTACTGCTAAAAGCTAACATTTAAAAGTGGACATTAGATTTGAAAAGACACTTTGATTGCATGAGAAACAGTAAATGCAGCATTAATGCACTGACAAACTGCTGTATGTTACAGCAACTTACAGAATTTAAATTATTAATATATTCACATATATATAATTCTTGGACTCACCTATATTTCTTGCGCATGATGTAGCACACCCCTCCAAATAAAAGAGAGGTTCCAAGTACAGCCACAACTGGAATTATGATGTGAAAGAAGTTTGTTTTACCTGAAAAAGACATTATTATTTAAAGCTATTGAGCATTACCTAAAAAAAATTCACTTAAGCTACTTAAAGCCAGCATGCATTGGAAATGTACTGTAAGGGTAGACTATTATACATTAGGCATCAACACCCCACTGTGCAACTGGTTACTGGACTTCCTCACAGACAGACCCCAGACAGTATGAGTTGGAATAAACACCTGTAAAACCATCATCATGAGCACTGGAGTTCCCCAGGGTTGTGTGCTGAGCCCTCTGTTGTTCACTCTGATGGCTCATGACTGTTATGCCAAGTACAACTAGAACCACATTATTTAGTTTGCAGATGATACAACAGTGGTAGGCAATGGTGACGACTCAGCCTACAGAGAGGAAGTGAACCAACCATGGACTACACACACCACCTCCCTTGTCAAGAAAGCATAACAGTGTCTTCACTTCCTACGAAGGATGAGGAGAGCAAACATCCCCCTGCTATCCTACAGAGGCACTATAGGGAACGTCCTGACCAGCAATCTCCCAGTCTGGTATGGCAGCTGCACCACCGCAGACCAGAAGTCCCTCCAGAGAGTGCAGAGGACAGATAAAATCATCAGAACCCCACTTCCATCCATACAAGATCTATACCTGTCATGCTGCCTCAGCAGGGCCATCAAGCCAGAGACCTCACCTACCCTGCACATGGACTGTTCAGCCTTCTGCCCTCTGGCAAATGCTGCTGCAGCATGCGGTGCAAGACTGCCAGACTCAGCAAAAGTTTCTTTCCACAGGCCATCAGAATACTCAACTCCCTTTAACAACACACGCAACATGCTGGTCTATCAGGACTGTTGAACTCCGGAACATACATACAGACTGTCTGAACCCATATCTTCTGTCTTTAAATGCAGCTATTCTCTGTGAAATATTTTCAGGGCTCTCATCACTTGAGCACTTTTTCACTATACACCAGTGTCAGGTTTACATTTCCTGTTACACTTAAAGCAACAGCCCAAAATTTCCTGTTACACTTAAAGCAACAGCCCAAAATTACTTGGAAAAAAGTCTAGTAGGTTTTATCCTTCTCCTGTAAAGTTATCATTTTGGAGATGCGAGGTTTTCTTTAGACAACAGTGATTATATATACACATGTTGTTGGATTTCTGAGAATATGCCATGTTCTTGATTTTGTACCTTAAATTGTTCACTTTTAATGTAATTACCAATTTAACATTCCTTAATATTTCTTTTTAATCTTCCTTCCTAAATTATGAATATCATAATGCAGTGTCAATAATCTGTGTATAAATACTGTAATGCAAAAATTGTAGCTTTTTGCAGAGAAGAGAATTGCATAGTTGGTCCCATTAAAATGCATGTGTCAGGCTCCAGTCCTTGCTGGCAAAATCACTGCAGACTTCAGCACACTGCCTCATTAAACACACCTGACTCAGCTCATCAGGTAAGTAGCAAGGCCTTTGTGAACTGAATTCAGAGCATTAGATAAGAGTAAATGCTTATCTCTGCAGCACTTTGGCCTGGAAGTTCCCCAGTTTGATATGCCTGCTAACAGTCAGGTAATAACACTCATGTTTATGTTAGCCTTTTGAGAAAAATATCATGTAAACAGAGTGTTTTGTGTTTTTTGCATTTAATCATTATATTTTATGTGTTCCTTTTCATTCTCACTTAGTCAAAAATAAAAGTTAGTGACTATAGTAGGACCCGACTTGACTTACGTTTCACGTGTAGGCGGGTAGTGGCTGTAGAGCTCTTTCCGCCGTGGAAACTGACAGTGCAAGTGAGGTCTTTGAGATCATCATCCTCTGTTGGGATGAAAGCCAGCAAAGAATCCACTTCCCAGTTTCCATTAAGAATGTCCCTGTTGTTCACAATGGCTTTACTATTTGAATGGCTCCAGGTGATGGTGGGGGGATGGGAGGGGCAGGTGTGTCTGATAGAACACTTGAATGAAGCAAAAACTCCCTCCTCCAATAATTCCTTTTTTTCCAGCTGTGGGTTCTCTGGATCTGCTACACAGCAAGTACAATGTCAGTACTATTATTAGTGAAACTAAAAGATTAATCCACCTCTTGACAGCCTCAGCACTATGAAAATTAGCAGGGAAATAGTACAAATGGCTGAAGCCATTTTAGAACTACAGCCATACTTACGCATCATGGAGAGGGTCACACAGCTTTGCACAAAAGAATACTTATCTAAATCTGGGATTTCAGCCCTGAAACAGAACGGGTCGTTGTCATGGTCTTTGACTTTATCTAGCTCTAAGGTGCAGTTTTTTTCACCCAAGTGGCCAAGCAGTCTTGTGCGACCCTTGAAGCTGTCTGCAATTTCAACTGGGTCTTGATGATAGATGTTTTCTTTTTTATCCTTTTTGTGCCAGATTCCCCTAATACGCGAGTCTGGAAGTTGTCTTCCAGGGTACTGGAACTTGCAGGGCACCACAACACAAGAAGAGACCAGCGCTTTCATTTCAGAGACAACTTCTGCCTTCCACACATCAGACAATACAGTGGCAAAGATCACTGGAAAATGAAAAATAAATAATAACCAGCTGATACATGCAGTTTACTCTTTTAAAGAGATGAAATATTACATAAATGCAAACATGAAGTAATACTAATAAAGTTAGATCTGTACCTTGAAGACAAAGCCAGCAGAATAGAAATCTTGCCTGTGTGCCCATACTGGAACAGCAAACCTGTCAGACTGTTAAAAATACTACATATATCTACTGGGGCTTTCAAAACAGTTAGATTCAGTCAGTTGTGTCTATGTTTATTGGAAAATAAAGGACATTATTGTTCATTAATTATTACCTACATTTGTATGTAAATTAATTAAATCCCTTATTAAAAATTAATAGAATTCAGCACAACTGCAGCTCTGCCTAAGGGAAGCCATCCACCAAAAGTCAGTGACTTGATGAGGAGGGCAATGGTAAAATGAACTGGAAAGATCCACAGCTAACAGGACAACTGGACAGCCATAGCCTGGACACTCTACAAAGCTGGGCTTTATGCAAGAAAGCCATTGTTAGAACAAGACTAGAAAAACATAGTTTTACTGAACTGCCATCATCTACATGCCATTTGTTACTCACGCAAGTGTCTACACAGGATATGATACAGAATAGGATCTTGTTGTTGTCCAAAAACGACATTTTACAGGAGAAGGCAATAATGTTCTGACATTTTAACATAAATTATTGTAAAGAGGTTTTTTTTGTACATGATTTTGGATTTGTGGGCCTATAAAAAGTAGGAAAACACTAAAAAACACTTGTTTTCAAGCTGCACGTTCTACATATTCAACATGTTGCATTATAGCTTCTGAGCCAGCTAATGTCACATTGGCAAATAAATAACATTACCATGAAAATTCTAAACATTCACACATTTTATCAGACATATTTTAGAAAATGGACAATGAACTAATGTAAAAATACAACTTACATGTTTTTTTCTGGATGTCTCGTTTCACTTAGGATCTCACCTCTGTTCTTCACTCATCAGTAAACATATTGACTCCAGAAGTGAAGGGAGGTGCATGTTAAAGCCCTGCCTGCATATTTTCTCAGAAGTACTGTAATGGTAAATAGACAGTAAATCCCTAGAGGGTCTTTTGGGGAAGTACATCAGAATTATTGGAATCTTGTCAACAAAAATGGATAGTGAAACAAAATGCAAATACTTTAAGAGCCTTCAAAACCACATCCCACATCCTATTCTGCAAATAGGTAAGATATAATTGTTGCTGTGCTTAAGAACGCAGTAGTTACCTACTGGGCAAGTCTGAAAGGTACATTAAAATAAACATTTAGCAAAGACAGTTTACAGGAATGCAGAGAGTGAGACGAGGCAACAAAAGGATGCTTTAGGTAGATAGGAGATGGGACAGAAGAAATGGGATTGAAGTAAACAGGAGATGCTCACACTTTCAGAGACCAGAAAGGAAGAAGATAATTTGTAGGAATTCCTAAAAAGTCATCTTCAATTACAAGAATATCTATAAATATGCACAAAGAATGAAAGGAGCCACAGTCGAGTCATGTGAAGTCAGCATTTGTAGTTCCAGAATGAAGGATAAACAAATCAAAAAGAGTGACAGATCATCTTTCCATCTTTTCAGTTAAAATGGTGGCATTAGTTCTGCAGGGGATGAAAGGGAAAAAAGGAAAAGTGACCAGTTCAGATTTAAGTTCTGTATTAGTGCGCTTAGAGTCACAAACAATACATAGCAAGCAAGTCATTTAAAATAATGTTTTGCATGTGTGTCAGAGGTGTTTATAAGTTGCTTCATGAATCAAGTCTTAAGTATCTGGGGCACAAGTTTGAGTCAAGTCTTGAGATTGATTACTGAGAAAGGTAAGAAAGGTTCTCATTAATCATTGTAATGAGTAAATGTAATTTAAGGTTAATTATAACTCACATGAGACACTGCTTAAATATTGTGTGGCACTTGATTTGCCTTAAATTTATACACTTAAAAGGATCTTCAGGGGTTCTTTAGTAAGGAAAATGGTTCTATATAGAACCATGAACAGACTGATGGAGAATGCACTGTAGATGGTTCTGTATAGAACTTTTTTGGGTTCTATATAGCACCAAAAAAGGTTTTTCTATTGTTATAAGCTTGACACTGTAACAATAGAAGAACCCTTTTAGGTGCTATAAAGTATACTGAGTACTTCTAACTTAAAGTTCACCTCTGTGCTTCGCTCAAGCACTCAGCTGACAACACAACATTGGTACACTAATTAATGGATTATTCCACATGTACCATACAATTGGCTTTAAAACATCAGAAACGCGTATTTCAGGAGTTTCTACTAGTTTTGTGTACTTGTGCCAGTCTAATCAGAAGCTGCTTACAGGGTAGTGACAACCAATTGTTTTCATTTAGATTAGCAATAAAGGCTGATCTGGTGAACACAAATCACCTTTGTGGTTACAGTAACAAATAAGTGTAAGATGCATCGGAACCTAACCTTTGGCATAAAGATGACATGTTATAACTCACAATTAATTTTAGCCCATACAATGTTTCTAGTCTTAAACTGCCCCATCACAACTTTTTTCGATACATGTTGCAGCCATCAATTTGAGAATGATCATATATTTACAAAAAAACTGTGAAGCTGATAAGGTAAAACATTACATGTTCAAAACAGGTCAACGTAGATTTATAAATCACTGCTTTCTTTTTTTTATTTGAATTTTACCTACTGTTCCAAATTTTTGGAAATTGAGTTTATAGAAATACAAGTCAGTGATTTTCTTCTAGATAGTAAAAATAATGCAAACATGTAACAACAGGCTATAAAACAGTTCTGCTCCACTCAATTCCACACAAAAAAACAATAAAATGAATATATTTGCTAGTGTATAAAGACATGAGCATCGCTGAAATCTACAAGTTTTCATGTAACAGTTGCTTCTTCTGAATATCTGAAAAGTGGATATGATGAAAAGAAAAACTAGCAAACTATATCACTGACACTGATACTCTTATTTTATTTGTCATTTAATAATTTAATTTGAATGAATGAATGATAGGAATAAATGGTGGAACTATGTGTCCGAAAGTTTGTACACCCCATGTGACGCAACCAGATGAATCAGACGCTTGCGCTAAAATCAAAAGGAGAGGCTTTATTGTCAAGGGCTTAGGCGAAACTTGTGGTTGTGAAACAGGCAGAGGTCAAATCCAAAGACAGAAAAGAAACACCATAACAACCAGGCAACCAAATCCAAAGGGGCAGAGCTAAGCAGACAGTCGAAAAATTCCAGGCAGACAAAACAGTAACTAGTCTAAAAGCCCGGGCTTTATACTAAACCTAATTAAACACATAACAGAACAGGTGTACAAGATCAGTATTCAGGAGAATGAGATCGATGATTAGAGCACTGAGAAGAGTTATCGGTCATGTGATCCCCCAGAGGGTTCTGGGAAATGGAGTTTGTGAGCATCTCAGAGCCGGAGGGATGCGTGACACCCCACTTTTGTCACCATGATACATGAAAACAAGCAACACACAACACAGTAGAGACCCTCTTTAAAACCTTTAAAAAATGCTTCACAATACTCTAGCATCCACCTAAAATACCATAGCAGCTGCTTAGCTGCACCCTAGGTAACCACTTGGGATACCATGACATCCATCGAGTTACATCTTGGCAACCACCTGAAGCACCGTAACAACCATTTTGTAACACCCTAGCCACTACCTAGGATATCAGAGCAACCACCTTAGACACCTAAACCATTGCTTAGCAACACCCCAGCAACCGCCTTGACTTACATTAAAAGTAAATATGTTTTTCCTTTCTCCTGTAAAGTTACCATTTTGGAGATACAAGGATTTTTTCTAACAGTGATAAATATATTATATATATATAGATTTCTCCAGATTCATTGAATCTTTTAATGTTATTATGTACCATAGATGATGAAAAGTTCTTTGCTATTTTATGTTGAGAAATGTTATTCTTGAATTGTTGCACTATTTGATCATGCCGTCTTTCACAGAGTGATGTACCCCTCCTCTGGTTACTTCTGAAAGACTCAGCCTCTCTGGGATGCTTTGCTCTGTGGTTCATTTCAAAGACTGAATACAACCTCAATATTTATCAACCTAAATATTTACAGTTGTATGCAAAAGACTGGGCACCTTAAGTTAAATCACATATTTTGTTGATTTTTGAAGTGAAAAGAGGTAAACATATTTTTTCTCTGCAAACGTTAATGCAGTTATTTTACATTTGATTATCTTAAGACATAGAAAAAAAGGTAATTGTAGCATGTATAAACATTTGTCAAAGTCAGCATTATTGTCATTTCTTCTCATCACAGATATGTTGAGAGAGGAATGAAAAGTTTCTCGAGAACACTGTTCTACATTTAACATAGAACAGTAGGAGACAATAGTGCAGACAGATAGTAAATACAATAAATACAGACAAACTATGCAAACACTTCCACAACAATTAAGCTCAGTTATAAAATTGTAAAAATAGTCATTGACCCTTTAAAACAAGAAAATTGTACCAAAAATGGTTATAATGCATTAAGTATATAGACTCTGTGTAAGCACACTGACTGACCGGAAACTGATGTTCCTTGATGCTTGCATGAGCATTTGCATGTAGCATTTATTTATGCTATGTGTGATGGGGGGCATTGTCTCATGTAGCTTTGAAAGATAAGACATGGTGGGTTCATTTAAAAATAAAGTCTTTTAGATAGTGCCAATGTCGATCATTTTTACACTTGAGTGCAAGATTCAGGCAATAATAGTCTTTAGTTGTATCCAAATGCAGAGCAAATGAGTACGCTTCTAGTGACTTATTTTGGAACTGCAGTGCTTTCAGTGTTATAGTAACTGTGCCTTATGTTAATACCCTTGCTATGAAGGAACTAAAACCCTTCCTATAAGAAACTACAAGGTTGATTCAGTCTTGTGTAATAACTTCTATAATATTTAATAATACTTTCTTACTTACGTAATATTAACTTGTGTAATATCCTGAAGAAAGCTATAAAAATTGTCTATATTACTGCATGATTCTTATAGCAATCCTACAGAAGTTCCTGTAGTATTATTATTATAGGTCTTTTTATAAGGGTATGTTCATGTATTAATGCTACTAGCTTTAGTGTGTTAAAGCGTTCAACATTATCATTTAGGCAGATTTATTTGGATTGGTTTCAACTGTGTGGTGTGAGAAAAAAAATGGAGAAAACACTCCATTAGTGGAAAAACACTCCATTAGTAATGGAATTGTCCGCATATGTGGACACCATGTGTGAAAGGGTTAATAACTAAAGCACTTAATTATTTGACTGTTTTATTCTAGATCCACTGACAGACAGAGAAAGATGTGTGTACAGATGAGTGTCATAGAATTCCAATCTGAACAGTGATGAAAACGTCAGCACATCATGAGCATGATCACCAGTTTGAAATGCAATTGCTGATGCAGATACTAAACACAGATGACTGACTTCAAGAATGCAAAGTAGGTGTTCCCCTTTTGGCTGGTTACTGCGAGCTAATGAATAAACTCACAGCACAAGAACGCTCCAACTATAAATGTTACATCCAAGTGTGTATCTGTAGTAAATCAGGGCTTAATCCAATGGCCCCGTCTCAGTGATACAGCCCCGGTTTACTGACTGTAATTGAAACTCAAGTAAGCTGAAGTTGCTGTATACCTAACTGTTTGTTGATGGTGATACAAAACAATAGCAATCAACCAAAATACTGGATTTACATAAACCCAGCCAACATTGCAACACCCTTCAGTATAAAGCATGCATCTGCTCACCACAGGCACATCTGCCCAGTGTGGACACCACAACATAACTGGGTTAAAGACAGCCGAGATGTACAGAAATGAGGAACAAAACACAGAAACCTAAAAACCTAACCCCAAACATCAAAGGCTAATGCATACACAGCGGGTAGACCCAAGGAAGACCACATGACTGAGATAAA